CAGCGGGCGGGGAGGGCCGGGGCTTTGGCTCGAAGCACTTCTCCCAGGTGTGCACGGAGCTGGTGAAGCCATGCGTCCCCGGGGCAGCGGTGGGGCCTGGAGTGAAGTCGCTGGGAGCAGAGCGGGACGGGGCGAAGTCCTGCCTGTCCTGCCGGGTGTGTCTGCTTCCCCGGTGGGAGCATCTGCGCTGAAATAGCAGAGGGGCTGGCCCCGGGGAGGTGGGCTCCCAGCCCAAACCGGGGCTGGTGTGAGAAGAGCTCTCCCTGTCCCTGGGACTCAGTGTGGGCCTGTCCGTGCGCTGGTGGACGTGAGAGAGTTCAGGAGCACCGTGCTCGCTGCGCTGTCTTCCCCGAGGTGTCGTTTCCTCGGGGCTGTGGGCTCGCTGAAGCCCGTGTGCCTGCGCAAAGCGTGTGGGGTTTGTAAATGAGAGCTGCAGAGCGCTGGGATTTGCTGGGCTTAGCTGTGTGTCGGACACAGGCTGTAACGATGTCACTACAGCCACTCCTACTGTGTGCATCCACTTCACCGTCCAGTGACGGCCGCGGGGCACGGCTGGGGAGGTGGTGGCTGGGCAGCCAGCGGTGAGCGGCGCGGCGCTGGTTTTCGGCAGAAAATCGTGGAGCTTTTGGATGCTTTTGGTTTTTCATCTCCGAGTCGAGGAGCCGGCGCACAGCATTTTCCACCATCTCTTGGCTGCCTGCTCTGGGTGAGCTGGAGGAAGGTGGTTTGTCACCTGCCCTGTGTAGGTGAAGGGTTGGCCAAGGGATTTGCGTACCCACCAGGCAGGCACAGCACGTAGGGTGCCAGTTTGATGTGCCAGAGGCTGCTAAAACGTCCGAGGAAGCTGCTGGTGCTGGGGAGCCCTCCCAGAACTCGGGAGAGCCAGGCCCGGAGCTCTGCGGTCACCGAGCTGCACAAGGATGTTGCATGGCTCCCCGGGACAGGTCAGTTCTGGCAAGGAGCGGCATGGATCCGTGCTGTCAGCTTGCAAGGGTGCTGGGAGAAGCCAGCCTGCGAACGCTCTGGGCCGCAGAGCCACCCCAGGGTGCTTATCCCTTCCTTCTCCTTTCTGCCTGCAAGTCCTCAGCCTTTCAGAACGGGAGCCGTGTCCTGGAGGGCACCAGGAGCCATGTCCAGTGCGGGGTATCTGAGTTTTCTGGAGCAGGGTGGTTTGGGAGGGCTCCCCGCTTTGCTGCGTGCATGGCGGAGGGTGAGGCGAGCAGTGTCGCCAGCCAGCAGCGCTCGTGACAGGCCTTGGGAATACGATTTTCCAGCTGCAGCCCAGTCCCTGGAGACCTGGCCTCACTGGCAGCGGAGGTATAGTTGTGGGCTTTCCTTGGCTACCCTGGAAAGCTGGACAAGGAACTTTAGCTTGACCAGGCAGAGCGGAGGACTGGCCTGCGGTGCCATGTGCTAGGAGCTGCTTCCACTCGGGCGAGCCTGCGTGATGGTGACCGAGGGCTCCAGCACCTCTCGGGGAGGGAGGGCCCGTGCTCTGGTCCTTCCTCCCCCCAGCCTGGCAGTGCTGAGCTGCGCTCCCCTCCGGCACGTTGGCTTTTCCCTGCTGTGCTGGTGGGGCTCCCTGGCTGCGGTTGGATTTTGAACCGCGTGTCCGAGTTGCTTTTCTCTCCGTGCCTGTGCTTTGGGAACGTGGTGAACAATAAAAATCTGCCGGCGAGAGCTGTAGCAGAGGTCAGCCAGCTCCTGTGCCCCAGGCTGCTCTGTTGTCACCGCACAGTCGCGCTTTGTGCATAGGGGCTGTCAGCTTGGAAATCATGTTTTTGCTCTTAAAACCATCCCCGGGCACTGGTGTGGGGCTCTTTGTGAGCGACGTACTGGGGAGGTATTGCAGCCAGGCTCCTTTACACTGAAGGCAGTGGTCACTGCCGTTTCGGTGCATCTTGTAAGCAGCCTCTTGGCAGATTTTAAACCAAGGGCAAAAGAGGGTCAGTAGTTGCTGAAAATCATGAATTTTTCTGAGCTCCTTTGTGAAAATGATCGTTGCAGGTTGCCGTTGTCCCTGCCGGCTTCTTAAAATGCAAAATAAAACACCCAGCCCAACTTCCTGACTGTCACTAGCGCTTTCCAGAGACGTTTCGTTTTGCTGAGCGGTAACGAAATTGCTCTTTGCCGTCCACCAGCTTGTGGCTCTGCCCGTACCCTTTGCTGGAGCCGCGACGCCAGACACTGCCGCTCTGCCTCCTGCTCTGCCTCCTGCGCGCCGGCGGCAGACGGGCAGCGGGGAGGGGGGGGG